CCACGAAACGCTGCACTGGGCGTGTGAAAATGCCACATTGGGCGTGGGGGGCGCACGCGGGCGGTCCCAAGGGGGGTTCCGGTGGAGCTCCCTATGGGGCCACGAAGCGCTGTACTGGGTGTGCGAAAATTCTAAATTATGTGGGGGACCCATGCGGGCGGTCCCACTGGGGGCTTCGGTGGAGCTCCCTATGGGGCCACGAAACGTTGTGTTGGGTGGGTGGAACGCATGGAAGAAGGACGAGGGAGGGGAGGAGGAGGAGAGGAGGAGGAGGAGGAGGAGGAGGAGGAACGCGGGGCGACGTCTTTTCAAAACGAGGACCCAACACCACAGGATGGTCGGGAACAAAAAGAACAATTAACCTGGCGAAAGACCCAATTATATGCAGTTGTGAATTCCGCAATTGAGAATATCTTCTTCGGTGGCGCTCTTAAGGGGCCACGAAACGTTGTACTGGGTGGGTGAAACGCAGGGAGCAAGGGCCGTGTTGGGTGGTGGCGGACGCATACGGGCGGTGCCAGTGGGACTTTCCGTGGAGCTCCTTATGGGGCCTGGGTGGGTGAAACGCAGGGAGCAAAGGTTGTGCTTGAGCGGTGGCGGACGCATGCGGGCGGTGCCACTGGGACCTCGGTGGAGCCTCTCTATGGGGCCTCGAAACGCTGTACTGAGTGGGCGAAGCGCAGGGAGCAAAGGCTGTGCTGGGTGGTGGCGGACGCACGCGGGCGGTGCCACTGGGACCTTCGGTGGGGCCCTTTTTTATGTGGGGCCACGAAACGCTGTACTTGGGCGGGCGAAGCGCAGGGAGCAAGGGCTGAGCTGGGTGGTGGCGGACGCATGCGGGCGGTGCCACTGGGACCTTCGGCGGAGCTCCCTATGGGGCCACGAAACGCTGTACTGGGCGGGTGAAAGCGCAGGGAGCAAGGTATGGGGCCACGAAACACTGTATTCGGTGGGCGGAACGCAGGGAGCAAAGGCTGTGCTGGGTGGTGGCGGACGCATGCAGGCGGTGCCACTGGGACCTTCGGTGGAGCCCCATTTTATGGGGCCACGAAACGCTGTATTGGGTGGGTGAGACGCAGGGACCAAAGGCTGTGCTGGGTGGTGGCGGACGCATGCGGGCGGTGCCACTGGGACCTTCGGTGGAGCTCCCTATGGGGCCACGAAACGCTGTACCTGGGTGGGTGAAACGCAGGGAACAAGGGCTGTGATGGGTGGTGGCGGACGCATGCGGGCGGTGCCACGGTGACCTTCGGTGGAGCTCCCTATTGGGCCACGAAACGCTGTGCTGGATGAGTGAAACGCATGGAAGAAGGAGGAGGGAGGGGAGGAGGGGGGGGAGGAGGAGGAGAAGAGGAACGCGGGGACCGTCTCATCAAAACGAGGACCCAACACCACAGGATGGTTTGGAAAAGCAACGGAATTGGCCTGGCGAATGACCCAACCATATGCAATTGTGAGTACCGCAATTGTGCTGGGTGGTAGCGGACGCATGCGGGCGGTACCATTGGGACCTTCGGTGGAGCCCCCCAACGGGCCACGAAACGCTGCACTGGGTGGGTGAAACGCAGGGAGCAAGGGCTGTGCTGGGTGGTGGCGGACGCATGCGGGCGGTGCCACTCGGACCTTCGGCGGGTTTTTTTTTTTTTTTTTATGGAGCCACGAAACGCTGTACTGGGTGGGTGAAACGCAGGGAGCAATGGCTATGCTGGGTGGTGGCGGACGCATGCGGGCGGTGCCATTGAGACTTTCGGTGGGGCCCCCTTATGGGGCCACGAAGCGCTGTACTGGATGGGTGAAACGCAGGGAACAATGGCTGCGCTGGGTGGTGGCGGACGCATCCAGCGGTCCCCCTGGGACGTTCGGTGCAGCCCCCTTATGGGACCACGAAACGTTGTACTGGGTGGGCGAAACGCAAGGAACAAGGGCTGTGCTGGGTGGTGGCGGACGCATGCGGGCGGTGCCACTGGGACCTTCGGTGGAGCTCCCACTGGGGCCACGAAGCGCTGTACTGGGTGGGCGAAACGCAGGGAACAAGGGCTGTGCTGGGCGGTGACAGACGCATGCGGGCGGCGCCACTGGGACCTTCGGTCGAGCCCCCATATAGGGCCACGAAACGTTGTACTGGGTGGGTGAAACGCAGGGAGCAAGGGCCGTGTTGGGTGGTGGCGGACGCATGCGGGCGGTGCCAATGGGACCTTCCGTGGAGCTCCCAATGAGGCCACGAAACGCTGTACTAGGTGGGTGAAACGCAGGGAGCAAGGGCTGTGCTGGGTGGTGGCGGACGCATGCGGGCGGTGCCACTGGGACCTTCGGTGGAGCTCCCTATGGGGCCACGAAGCGCTGTATTGGGTGGTGAACGCAGGGACCAAGGGCTGTGCTGGGTGGTGGCGGACGCATGCGGGCGGTGCCACTGGGACCTTCGGTGGAGCTCCCTATGGGGCCACGAAACGCCTGTATTGGGTGCGTGAAACGCAGGGAACAAGGGCTGTGATGGGTGGTGGCGGACGCATGCGGGCGGTGCCACTGGGGCCTTCGGTGGAGCCGCCTATGGGGCCACGAAACGTTGTACTGTGTGGGTGAGACGCAGGGAGCAAGGGCCGTGTTGGGTGGTGGCGGACGCATGCGGGCGGTGCCACTGGGGCCTTCGGTGGAGCCGCTTATAGGGCCACGAAACGTTGTACTGGGTGGGCGCAACGCAGGGACCAAGGGCTGTGCTGGGTGGTGGCGGACGCATGCGGGCGGTCCCATTGGGGGCTTCGGTGGAGCCCCCTATGGGGCCACGAAAAACGCTGTGCTGGGTGGGTGAAACGCATGGAAACAGGAGGACGGGGAGGAGGAGGAGAGGAGGAACGCGGGGACCGTCTCTTCAAAACGAGGACCCAACACCACAGGATGGTTACGAAAGAGAGAGAGAGAGTGAGAGAGAGAGAGAGAGCGAGGAGGAAGGGAGGGAGGAGGAAGGGGCAAGTGGGAGGGATAGAAGAGACGGAGGACGAGAGAGATTAGAAAGAGGGCTTAGCAACATGGCATGGCAAAGAAGACTCAGGCAAGGCCGCGGTTCCGGAGTAAATGGTGGGGAAGTTCTTAGCGAGAGTGCAATTCCAGAGCGCCGAGTGAGCGATTCTTTAATACATGTAAGCTAGTCCCAGGCGAGAGCGCGATTCTTAAATTGGCCTGGCGAAGGACCCAACCATACGCAATTGTGGATACAGCAATAGTGAATACCATCTTCGCCCGCGCTCCCTATGTGGCCACGGTTTCCCGCCGGAACCCGACATGCTCAGGGACACGTTTGTGGCCGTCTTCGCGGTTGCCGACGACCACGAGGACGGCGTCCCCCTGACCGAAGAGCAAAAGCAGGAAAAGGTTCTGAGAGTCATGAAGGAGACTGCCATTGGCGCCTTCGGTGGAGCTCCTATGGGGCCACGATCCTCATGAGGGGTGTGCCGAAATGCCCCGAGGCCGCCATGCGAACCCTGCCACTGGGGGCCTTCGGTGGAGCTCCCTATGGGGCCACGATCCTCGTGAGGGGTGTGCCGAAATGGCCCGAGGCCGCCATGCGAACGCTGCCATTGGGGCCTTCGATGGAGCTCCCTATGGGGCCACGATCCTCGTGAGGGGTGTGCCGAAATGGCCCGGGGCCGCCATGCGAACGCTGCCACTGGAGCCTTCGGTGGAGCTCCCTAATGGGGCCACGATCCTCGTGAGGGGTGTGCCGACATGGCCCGGGGCCGCCATGCGAACGCTGCCACTGGAGCCTTCGGTGGAGCTCCCTATGGGGCCACGATCCTCGTGAGGGGTGCGCCAAAATGGCCCGGGGCCGCCATGCGAACGCTGCCACGGGAGCCTTCGGTGGAGCTCCCTTTTGGGCCACGATCCTCGTGAGGGGTGTGCCGAAATGCCCCGGGGCCGCCATGCGAAAGTTGCCACTGGCGCCTTCGGTGGACCTATGGGGCCACGATCTTCGTGAGGGGTGCGCCGAAATGGGGCGGGGCCGCCATGCGAACGCTGCCATTGGGGCCTTCGGTGGAGCTCCCTATGGGGCCACGATCCTCGTGAGGGGTGCGCCAAAATAGGGCGGGGCCACCATGCGAACCCTGCCACTGGAGCCTTCGGTGGAGCTCCCTATGGGGCCACGATCCTCGTGAGGGGTGTGCCAAAATGAGGCTGGGTCCACATGCGAACGCTGCCACTGGAGCCTTCGGTGGAGCTCCCTATGGGGCCACGATCCTCGTGAGGGGTGTGCCGACATGGCCCGGGGCCGCCATGCGAACGCTGCCACTGGAGCGTTCGGTGGAGCTCCCTATGGGGCCACGATCCTCGTGCGGGGTGCGCCAAAATGGGGCGGGGCCACCATGCGAACCCTGCCACTGGAGCCTTCGGTGGAGCTCCCTATGGGGCCACGAAACGCTGTACTGGGTGGGTGAAACGCAGGGAGGAGGGGGGAGGAGGGGGAGGAGGAGAGGAGAGGAGGAGGAGGAGGAGGAGGAGGAGGAGGAGGAGGAGAAACGCGGGGCGACGTCTCTTCAAAACGAGGGCCCAACACCACTGGATGGTTGGGAAAAATGCGCACGGAAGTCTCAAGGGAGAGCGCGATTCTTCAATAGATTGTGAGGATGTATAAAGCGCGAGCCGCTGTTGATGCAAACCGGGGGCCAACTACACAGTTTGGAGACCCAAAGTTTTCCCTGTTAAAGAACAAAGTGCGAGCCCGGCGAGAGACACGTCAGTTGCAAAGAAGCATGTGATACTGGAGGGGGAGGTCAACAATGATTATGCTTTCAAACGTGGCATCAGCGACAACATCAGCAGCAACAACATCAGCAGCAGCAGCATCATCGTCAACATCATCAGCGTCAGCATCATCATCATCATCATCATCATCATCATCATCATCATCATCATCATCATCAGCATCAGCATCATCATCAGCATCATCATCATCATCTTCATCGTCGTCGTCATCGTCGTCGTCGGCAGCAGCATCATCAGCACTACAGCCTCTCCGTTCTCTCACGTCTCCGCTTTCGCGCCCCAGCGTGCGCGCGGCGCGCCTCCCCGGTGCGCACGTGTGCCGGCGCGCGGGGGGGGGCAAAATGACGACCACGGAGGCCGCAGCTGGAGGAGGAGGAGGAGGAGGAGGAGGAGGAGGAGGAGAGGAGGAGGAGGAGGAGGAGGAGGAGGAGGAGGAGGAGAGAGAGGAGGAGGAGGAGGAGGAGGAGGAGGAGGAGGAGGAGGAGGAGGAGGAGGAGGAGGAGGAGGAGGAGGAGGAGGAGGAGGAGGAGGAGGAGGAGAGGAGGAGGAGGAGGAGGAGGAGGAGGAGGAGGAGGAGGAGGAGGAGGAAGGAGGAGGAGGAGGGAGGAGGAGAGGAGGAGGAAGGAGGAGGAGGAAGAGGAGGAGAGGAGAGGAGGATGATGAGGAAGAAGAAGAGCAGCATAAGGAGGTAGGAGAAGGAGGAGGAGGAGGAGGAGGAGGAGGAGGAGCAGAAGTCACAGGATGACCGATACTGCAACTGTACTGGTCACGGGCAAGACCTTCAGATTTGCCCTCTGGCCTGCCCAGCTCTGCGGTAAGCCTGAGGCCTGACCCCATTAAGAGATCCCAAGGAGACTGTCAGTAGGAGGAGGAGGAGGAGGAGGAGGAGGAGGAGGAGGAGGACGGAGAGGGCCCTTGCAGGCCGTCCTCATTGTTTCCCCATCCAAGGCCAAGTCGCAACCCCTGTACTTCGCATTCCTGCAGCCCTCGACACCATGCCTTTCCCTCCGGGCCTGAGCACCGACGGGTCGTTTTGCTGCCCTTGTCGGGCGCGGCCGTGCGGCCACGAGGCTGGCCGCGCCTTCCTTGACGCTGCGGACCAGAGCTGGCCTGGCAGCACGTCGAAACAGAATAGGAGGAAAGCAGCAGCAGGAGGCGGCGACGGCAGCAACGTCCCCGCGAGAGGTGGTCGCCGCGGACACGCTCGGGAACGCCGCGCAGACCTCGCGCGAGCGCCAGGAGGCGGCGACGAGGACGACGACGACGCACGACGACGACGACGACGACGACGCTGGACGACGACGACGACGACGACGACGACGACGACGACGACGACGACGACGACGGCGACGGCGACGACGACGACGACGACGACGACGACGACGACGGCGACGACGGCGACGACCGACGAGCGACGAGCGACGAGCGACGAGCGACGGGCGACGAGCGACGGGCGACGAATCTTGCCGATGGCGACGAGAGATGACCCACGGGCCACGACCGAAGACAGCGACGACGACCAGGGCCTCGCTGACCACGGCCAGCTACGAGCGACGACGACCTCGACGCGCGACGAGCGGCTTCGGCACGAGCGACGACGGCGCGCAACGCCAGGCGATTGCGAAGACGACGAGGACCGGCGACGAGCGACGAGCGGCAGGCGTTGGCCGCCTCGCTGCACGGCGCCGGCGCGGCTCGGCTCCGGCGGCCGCCCACCGCCGCGGAGCGCCGATCGGCTGCCGCGGGCCAGAAAACGCCGGATCCACCTCCTGCTCCTCCTCCTCCTCCTCCTCCTCCTCCTTCTCCTCCTCCTCCTCCTCCTCCTCCTCCTCCTCCTCCTCCTCCTCCTCCTCCTCCTCCTCCGCTTCAAACGGTAGTCCCGCCTTTTTCACCCCTTCCAAACTTGTGCCCTCACTGCCCTGCTCCCGCGTCCATGCACAGCCTGGCCAAGTATCGCGCCCGCCTTTACCCCCCCCCCCCCCCCCCCCCAAAAAAAAAAGAAAACGTCATCGAGCCTCCCACCCTAATGCTGTACCAGGTGGGAAGCACCCCAACACGCTGTAAACGTCGCCCGCCGAAATACCACCGAGCGTCCAGGCAGCATTCCAGGTACGAGGGTGTGGCTCACTTTCGCGAACCTCTGGGCACCAGAACGTTTCCACTCACGAACAATGTTCTCAATTGCATTGTCGCCCGCACATGCCAGTCCTTCCGAAACGATGGTTTCCCCTCATTCGGTTGATTGCGGATGACCACCTTCGCATAGCCGTTGAGCGAGTCCTTTTGTGAATTCACGCCATGGCTTGGAACGTTCGTAGGCGCCCTTCAGCTGCCGCACCATGACCTCCAGGGCCAGCACGTCATGAAATCATTCGCATAAAGCTCCACCACGAATCGCCAAGTGAATCAATGTGTCCACCTGCGGGTTCTGCAGCACACCACAATCAGTAGTAGCCGCAAGTAGTAGTTTCAGTCCACATAGTTTGCTGCATAGACGATCTCGCCTATCAGGCCGTCTGCGTCTCGAACCTTCAGGTGCTTCGCACCAAAGCTTGAGCTGTTCCCAAAGTTCCAACGCCGCCCACCAGCGTGAAATATCTTCCGTGTCCAATTAATGCTAAATGTGTTCCAAACGGGTTGACATTTGTACTTGTCTGAACTTGTGTCCTCAAGCCCTGCCCTTGCATGCCGCCCAGTCCTGTTTCTCCAGCTTGAGCCGTTGACAAAGGTCCAAGTCCAAGCAACTGAACCGTTATTTGAGAGACAAGTATGTGTTTTCAGGCTGCTGAGCAAAAATTGAATACTCCACTCCTCCAGGCGGTAACCACGTGGCCTTACCCTTCGGATCGAGGCCGACGGGGTGGAGAAGAAAAGACTTGCAAGCCACCTCTTCTCTCACCATAGGCCCCTCCATGATACCTTCCACCGTGAGGAGCACGGGAGCGAGGTGAGATTGGCGCCTACTTAAGCACGTCGACCCGGCAGTCGAATGCGTCAAAAAGATTTGATGTTTTGTTGCGGATGTATTCTCCACATGTACCGCGAGAAATCGCTCAAATGCTACCATAGACCAATTCTAGCCATCATCGCGTCTGTAGAATGTCCTCTGGATGCCTGTTCCGGTCTCCAGCAAGAATGAACGGCCACGAGAGCCCGAGCAGCGCCGTCGACAGGAAGTCCAGCAGGTCGAGGTTCCCCCCCTTGGCCACATATGCCCGTGGTAGCGTATGCCGAGCCAATCAAGATGGCCGACGAGGACGACAAAGTAACCAGCTTGAACACCACTCGATGTTGGCATCGCCCAGGAACTTTTTATGACGCGGCGGGCTCCTAACAACTGTGAAGTGAGGATGGCGACATCCCCCGAGATTTCGAGGTGGCCAGCACCAGTGCGAAGGGTTTGTCCCGCCGCCATCTTCTTGGAGCCCTTGCGGCACCACTGGTGCGCCGAACTCTCTGCTTGGTCAGGAGGAAACCAATGCACACCACGCCAGGTACACCTCCATGCTTGTCCAGCCACAGAAAGGACATCTTTGGCCGACTGCCGGGTGTTGCCATTGCTCGTGGCCATATTGCGTTGCCGTCGCGCGGGCCCGCCCTCCAAGGCCAGCTGCTCCGACAGGGAGAGAGGCGACGCCTGCAACAGATCAACATCCCGAGTAGCAGCTTCCACGCATTGATCGGTCGCTGCAGGGCACGTCGCAACAGCGCCATCGGGTCGACAACTCCCCGCCTCGTCGGTACCTTCCGCCCCAACGCGGGGCGGGCAGCGCGCCCCCGCGCTCCCTGATTTTGGTCTGGTCGGACGCGGCGACGACGAGCGTCGGGGGCTTGGTCCCGAAGAAACCTCGGAAATCGTTGAGGATAGCATTGAGTATCTGCCCGTGCCCATCCACCATGCTCTCCCACCCCCCTCGTTGCAACTGCGCGGCAAAGCATAACGCCGTCGCCGTTCGGAACGCGCGAGATTCCGAGCTTGAGCGCAGATCTCCTGGATGAGTTGGGCATCAACTGGCCGAATCCGCCCGACCAGGATGGTCCAAGTACTTTGCAAGATAAGCAGCGCACCAATCCTGCCAAAGAGCTGGGCCTTGAAACTGTTCCCCGCAAACGTCCCATATCCAGTTCGTTGCACAGTGCCGCAGGTCGCTGCCCAGCTCTTCACTCACCGAGGCCGAGGACTGCTAGTTTGCGAGTTGCACATCGGCTGCCTGCCAGGATGATGAGAGTGTCGATCAGTATCCAGTGAGACATGCTGCCGTCGCCGACGGACCCTTCAAACCCGAGCCCCCGCCGCTGTGCCGGTAGCTGAACTCGGGCGGGAGCCAGGCCGAGGGACGCGAATCGGCGCAGTTGGAACCGAATCCGCCTCAGGAGGACAAAGCGCAGCGACATTGAACTTCAAATCGCCAATCAGGACCGATGACCTGGTCTTCCCAAAAAGCGCCCAACGGTTGCCTCTGCAGATGGCCACTCTCCCGAGCACCGTTCACGCCCGAGTCGAACTTGGAACGCGTCATCGTCGTGGAGGGAGAAAGCCGCTCAAAATTGGCGGCCGAACGCTGCAGCGACGAGGAGGAGGCCTCTCGATGGCCGTTTGGGGCATCTTGGAGGCCCCTTGGGACCTCTTGGGGGTTCTGTGAGAGCGCGTTGGGGCCTCCTGGTGCAGTTTCGGGGTGGACTGTTCGAAATCTCCGTTCGGGTTTCCCGTACGAGCCCTCGGGGCCCCGCGTTGAGGCCGTCCTGGGGCCATCTTGGGCCGTCTTGGAAGCCTCTCGGACCGTCCTAGAGGCCTCTTGGGCCGTTATGCGGCCCTCTAAGAGGCATCTTGGGCCATATTGGGGCGATGTTGGGGGCGCATGGGGCCGTCTTGGAGCGCTTGGGCAATTTATTCTTTGCATTACGAATGGTATTGTTTTATCCGTGTAGTAGTCATTCGTATTATTTGTGGCACTAAATCCATGACTGTGACCATTAATAGCATCAGTATGATGATCGTTCGTATTCTTAGTAGTACTATACTTCTTCTTCGTAACCAGCCAGGCCCTCGACGCTGACGCGTTGGCGGACCGCCAAGGGCCCCGCGTACGCCGCGCAGGCCGCTTGCCGAAAGCGCGGGGCGCAGTCCGCAATGCTCTGGCGACGACGCCCGATCGTGGGTGATGTTGAGAGTTGGACCACTCCAGAGGGTCATGAACCGTCGGAATCAAAGCACGGAGAATGGCTGGACGATCTGATGGGCCATTTCCGGGGTCAGCATTGGCAGCAGGACTCCACGCACGAGGCTGGGGCCGACCTTTCCGAGGACGCTGACGTTGTGGATGCAGCGTGACATCATCCAGCACTGTCGACAGAGATTGCA